AATGTTTTGACCATCTGTCTTTAATATTTATCGTGCTAAGTGTGCACATCCTTTGTGTGTATGTCTGTTATTTTCCAAAGCCATTTTACAACTCATTTTACTCAGTGTTTAAGCAATAATAACATAATCGTCGAAAACATTCCATAATAATATTGATAAGGATAGTAACAACGATAAAGATCGTACTTGTCAAATATATATATAAATCAGATTGCTCGGGTGGTCAAGTGGTTAGACCGTCCTTTTTGGATGCAGGTAGTCTCCGGTTCGAACCCATTGCAAGTCATACCAAAGACTTTCAAAAGTGGTATTATTAGCTACCTCAATAGGCGCCCGGCATTAAGAAGTCAGTGTTAGAACTTGTCGGCCTGGTGTAAGGATAATGTGACTTGGTGGGACATGATAGCATGGTACATATATGCGGCATGATGCCGCAGTGCTAGACATTACTATAAACAGTAATTGTAGCGATATGACGGAATAATGTTTAAGGCTACGTTAAATCTCTCTCTCTCTTTCTCACACACACACACACACAAACACACGCACACACACATACATTAATTATCATATTCGTCGTTGGGCTCCGAGTGGTCGAGTGATTTAATGCAATCCACTTTACTGATCACTGACATCGCACCTCTATCCATGTGGGTTCGAGTCTCGGGCTCAACCATTGTCGGTATGTGGGAAAGCTGCCAGTAGCTTCCAAAAGGTCGCTGGTTTTTATCTGTTTTTTCCTTTGTTCTTCCTCCACCAGTTTTACTGGCCGACATGTATACTATATCTTGTTTTGAGAAATGGATTTAACCCCAAAACAACTACAACAAGAAAAACTTATTCATCATTATAATTTATTGCATGTATTAGTGATGTACTTAAGATTAGTAGTATCAAATATGTTATCTACACTTGTAATAACAACACTACTACTGCTACTACTACTACTACTACTACTACTACTACTACTACTACTACTACTACTAATTTCACTCAGTGGGGCTAGAATGTTAAGGCTGTCTGTATTGTTTATTTTAAAATTGTATTTCGCATTTTTGTTTCCTTTTACCTATTATACTTACTTATGAAAAAAATAAATTTTCATGGATGATTTCGTACTCAATTATAGCTTCTCTTATCACGTCTTCCATCCTGAATATAATTGAAAACCGTTTGTGCTGCACCCAACCCTAAAAAAGCAAAAGACAAAACCATATTTGATCACAGAAGTAGGAAATCTGATTGTTGTTATTCCCGTACGGCATGAAACATTTGCTACGACAGTCTCAACCAATTTAAAGCTTTGTATTATATTTCGTTGCTAATTCTTCTATTATCTCGATAATATGCTGGCCAAATCATTTTCAGCCTGATTAAATACATCCGTAGTCTTAAATATCATCAGGTTGTTTTTCTTCAATCTGGTCAATTGTTGATGTAATCGATATTTAGTGTATTTTCAATCATAATGATTGAAAATACACTCAATATCGATTACATCAACTAAACTACCTCCGTGTGTGGAGAGGCACATGAACATTTTTTATGACGAGGGAATCAGTGATAATATTCACCTTGCGATTTACGAAATGTCACACCAATTAGAGATTTGCAAGTTTCACCATAATTAATGGATATATGCAAATGGGAAAGTATCAAAAGTGACTTGGCATTAATGAAGCGAAATAGCTGCGAGAAATAAATTATTGCAGAATTGTTAAAAGAATTATTAAGTAGAATAAGATGGAAAATCAAGTCTTGTGTCGATGAAAGGCACAAATCTTGAGATTAACACAGAAAACAATATTCCAGCCAGTGTTGTCAGGATTTTTCATATTAGGCTGAAAACGCAGGCTAGAATCGAATAGTTAGAGGATGAACTACCTGATGTACAACCCATTTTACCATCAAGATCTTGCAAGTCAAATTATTCGAGGATAATATCGTTACAAACAATCTGAAACCAGACATTTAATCCACAAGATAATATGACATAATGAATGACGAAAGCTACGTGGAATTTCAGGTTAGAAAGGTAATGAAAATATTTATAGCACATGTGGAAAAATATGAAGTTTGCTATATTGTCGTACAGGTAGTCAAATCGAAAACAATGTTTGAAAATGTATGAGAGATTTTGAGGCGTAAAGAAAGACATCCACCAAGAAACAGAACTAGTGAAAATATCTCGAATGCAAGAATGGTTGGAAAGACTTAATGTAACAACGCGCACTTAGCTGAATATCTATAAGTTTGAGAGAGTTTTAATAGTAAACATTTGAAGGACTTTTGTACAGATAAAAAAAATATTAGTGTGGGCTGGAAGGGAACAAAAAAGAAACAAAACAAAAAACAAAACAAAAAAAAAATCAAAACAAAACAACAACAAACAGACGAAATAGACTTAACAATTATTATAATAGACATGTCGATCTCAATAGATGTTTTGCCTCTCGAAACTTTCTTACTGGAAGAACAAACTGCAGTAGTGAGCCAGTGGAAAAAAATATTTTTTCTCTTAAAATGAAAAAAAGACCTAGTAGCACACATGTAAATATAAAGAATAACTAAATAGTTTCAAAGGCTGTAATTTTAAGGAGAGATTATGAAGTGTTGTGTCTATTCATCCTCATCAGGAATTCACGCATTGTCGAATATATAACTTCCAGACTGTCAGGAGATCAATAGATATTAAAAATTATTTGGCTTTATAGCTGGAAAGGTGAATTACATATAAATAACATATTGCATGCACGAAACTCTCTCTCTCTCTCTCTCTCTCTCTCTCTCTCGCCAAAGAGAAGCATTATAATGTAAATTATTATATTAATAAAAGAACCAATGTATTCACTGACCCTTGCGCATGTGTTTAAAATACACTAAATACAAAACATAGCATAATGATGCATATAAGTTTACGAGGAACTTCATGCTAAATCACTAATAAATGCTCACTGTCAGAGTGTAAAGTATTTATGTGTGAAGATCCGAACTAGAAAATGAAGCGGGCATTCAATCCAGATTGTACTGGATCGCATCTTTAGACTGATCTTTCTAGAGTTGTCCACTTACTTTACATTGATTTTATCCTTATTTATTTCTTGGGGCGTGTAAATAATGACCTTAAAATCCCAATTTTACACAAGGAGCATGGATTCATATGTCAATCAAGCGACAATGCCTGTTAAGTAAGGATATATTTTCTTCTGTTGTATATATATATATATATATATATATATATATATATATATATATATATATATATATATATATATATATATATATATATATATATATATATATATGCAAGACTTGTTATGTAAGCAAAGTGTAGATCCTATTATATATATATATATATATATATATATATATATATATATATATATATATATATATATATATATATATATATATATATATATATATAATTTAAATATTGTAATTTAATATAGCACGATTTTTCATTTGGACAATTGAAAGGCACAAATTAAGTCGGGCAATTGCCCGACTAATGTTCATTTGGACAAAGGCCCGACTCGTAATAAGTGGAAAAGCTTTGTGAATGATGTTTTCAAAAATTGAGTCACTGGGTTGATTATTGTGACAACTATTCTAGGCCCGTTCGTGCGGGTAAGTAATATACCACTACAAATGCAACAATAACCGAGGAAGGTTAGTGTGTTATTGATATAATTAATATACCAATAGAGTCTGAAATGTCATATTTGGAAAACATATATTATTAAATTTCTGTTATTTACCTGCAAAATTCGATTCCATTAGCATTGGTTTCAGGCCTGGAAAATGTAGTTTGGTTACAATCAATTATTCCTTATTTTAGACACGATCTATGTAAAATATATTCCTAGTAGTCAGTCCATCATTGGCAGGATAATGCTAATGTGGAGAAGGGGGTTGATCCGAGTGCAAAGTGTGGAGCACGTACAGAATTGAACCCGTGGACTGATATTTAATGTTATTGTAGGACTGCACATGTAGGTACTGTCATTAAATTATAGAAGGTCTTGTTTTTTTTTATTCCGTTTTCTAAAGGAATGAACGTTCAATATTAATCGTTATCCTGTTTGCATATTTAAAGAGTAAACACAATCTTATAGACAAATGTGGTATTGCGTCGTATCAACATGTTTCATACTTTCATTTAATGTATTCAAATTAGTTGTAACGATAAACAGAACATTCAAAGGAGGTCATTTTGCTGTCTCTAAAATTATAGGCATGACATAGATAAAAATATTTTCTTAGATCAAACCATTTCATGAAGAGTTGATTTTCATGCCAGCGGAAGAGAAACGGACACTAACATTTATGCCTGGATCACTTTTTTTTGGTGCATTTGAGGCGCATTTGACAGGGGAGCAAGGTTTGTACACATTTGGCATAAGTAACAAACTCGTATATTTATTTTCCAGACCGTTACATTTCTTTTACATTCTTTTAGACATTTTTTCTATCAGTTTCCCGTGTATTTCTATCAAATATGCGTAGCGGTATTATACTGTAGTTGATATTGTGATGTATTTTAAATATCGTTTTCTTTATTTTATCTAATCTTTCACTGGGATGAAGATGTGTCACGGAACCAAACTGAGTATTTGTGATCTGTTATCTTGGCATGTTACAAAAACAAACAGGAAATCTTAAAACTGCTATTCTGATTTCTCGGGAATCCAAACCTGATTCTACACCTGTTATCAACTTCATCACGGTATCAAAACGTGGTAGCTGTAAATTGTGGTGTGTGGTGTTTATACTTTTTAACGTAGCTTTAACAATTTTTCAGTCATATCGCTACGATGTCTGCAGTGTGGCAGTTTTATAGTGATATCTAGCACTGGGACATCATGCCGCATACATGTAGCATGATGTCCCACCCAGTCACATTATCCTGACACCAGGCCGACCAGTTCTAACACTGACCTCTTAATGCTGAGCGTCAAGCGAGGCAGCTATTAGTACCATTTTTTAAGTCTTTGGTATGACTCGACCGGGGATCGAACCCACGACCTCCCGCATCCGATGTGGACGCTCTAACCACTGAGCCACCGGAGCGGTTGCTGTAAATTGTTATCCAGATTTGTCATGAAATAAAACTTGGTATCTCATACCTGTTATCCATATGTATCACTGGGCATATCTAGCCTGCATTCATGTATATAAAGGAACAAAACCATACATTGGTGACCTGTTGTTTAGCTGTAGGAAGGGACCTTATTTGCTATATTAATAGGATGTGTCAAGGAACTAAAATGTGATTTATGTGACCTGTTTTGCTCGTTATTTTAAATATAGCTTTACAATGTGTCTATTTATAAATCAAACACATTTGGGAATGATTTGAACTGGCATCAAAAATGCATCTTGGAACACGAGTATGTTGCACTTAGGATAGCAAATATTATAAGCTACTTTGTTGAATTTATAACGCTTGACACCTGGACTTTATTAAACACCGTTTCACTTATTAACACCCAAACTACACCCGGAATGCAATTATGAACGAATGTCTGTTTAATGTCTAGTTTGTAAAAAAGCTGTTGATTAAAAGACAATGCTTATTAAATTACACTCCTGATTAAAAGATACTGGTGATTAGCACTAAAAAGCTCGATATTGTGAAAAATCACGTGTGCTACAGATATAACTACGTCATTATCCTTAAAAATAGTTGGCATATTTTCATCACATCTATATGTCTCGTTCATCCAAAAATTATGATATAGCTCCCAATTTTCATTAACCTTATAATGTCCTTCTCAATGACGTAATTACATGTTAGATGTGTTAAATTATATATACTCCTCTCACATGTCTCACCTAATGCCTTTAATGTTATAAGATGGCATACATTACTAGAAATTTCGTCAAATTTATCCCTTCATTTTGTATCCCATGCCATTGTATATGCTTGCAAGACTCCACAATTACCAGTTGATACATTCTATTTACTCCGGCATTGATTTCTAGTATTTGTATCCAATTGCCAATAATTCAATCAATACTATGACAAACCAGAGGAAAATTTTGCTAACAACCTCTGACACATAAAATCCCTTGATGATATCAATTGCCCTTGAAAGAACTATTATTTACCATATGATTTGTCAATACTACTTATAGCAAAGTCATAGAAATAGCCGAGATGATCCGACGTTTTGCTATACTTTTATTAATTTGTGGAGAAATAATCGATGGAAAAAAATATATGTATTTTCTGCAAAGTTCTACCCAGGGTTATATCCCGATAATGATTTTATTTCTGTAAGTTAACTGCGGACGTCCTAATGTGTAGTCGGAACAATCAGAAATGTAGGTTCTAATCCGTATCATACGCAACGCGGTGTTAATTCTGCCTTCCTAATGTATCATTTGGTATAGTTACTAAACCCATAAGTGAGACCAGTCTAATTAAAACGGAACCATTGGAGGATGTATTTTCGCAGAGTGAAATATTACAATCATTTCAAAATCCTCTGCTAGTCCCTAAAGCAAATCACATATTGTTCGAATACCCAGTTGTAAAACATGGATTAAGATTATGCGAGGGTCATTTTCCCTATAAGTTCTGAGTAAGTGCGTAATTTAAAATTATTTACTATTTTATGTCCTCTGGTCAAAGTGTCTGCTTAAAAAAAGCTAATACGCTACTTATCAAGAACATTGCAGGATTAAGCTATCTAAATGGTTGTGTAATGGTCAGACGGTGTTCACTATTTCTTATTACGAAGTGTGTGATTTAAATGGGTAACATACTTTACAGCTTTATTTGAAGATTATATATTACCTGCTTGTAACATCCTGTGTGTTTAGATTATAATTGGTTTTGTCTGTTGTCCCATTACATTAACGATTCCAATTTCAGCACTTGTCTGAAAACTCCATGAATTGATTGCTAAGACATTTCACTGGAATTATCCAAGCATGACGATTGTTCAAATATATTCATATCTGAGGCCGATCAGACTTGAATTATGGCAGCAGTTGATAACAATAAACAAACCGTCATATTATTCAAAACAAACAACAATTAATCGTAATATAAAATTTGACATCTTTTAAATTCTTGTTGAAGTTTTGTTGAAATTTGTGATTCAGCCGATCTGAGATAAAGTTTAGACAAACAGTGTTAAAGAAATTCTTTTCTAAAATTACTTTGAATTGGACGTGGTTTAAAACGTTTTCAAAATTGGGTCAAATGATGACCATCGCTATAATATGCCTACGGCAGCGGCAACTAAAATAGAAAATTATTTAGTCAGTCTGTAAGTGGTAAGTAAATACATACAACAATTTGAAAGGCTTTATAGATCTTAGAAGAATCCGCACTAGAAATTACTTTGGAAACGAGGCTAGCCCAATCTTACCTATACTCTAAAGACACTAAGCCTTCATCTTTCCAGAGAGAGAGAGAGAGAGAGAGAGAGAGAGAGAGAGAGAGAGAGAGAGAGAGAGAGAGAGAGAGAGAGAGAGAGAGGCATGCATGTAAACATCAGCTAGTTATGTGTTCCATTCGCTTTCACTTCTAATGTGCCATATATATATTAAATCTTGAAGTAGTTTGAAGCGTGTGTCAAATATATATTCTGTCCTCATATTTCGTTTACGAATGTGCCAGATATAAATTCTGCCTTGACATTTCATCAAAACATGTGCATGTATTCAAATAAAAGTTTGGACCTGAGTTACCAATCCGTGGTCCAAACGACTTAATATGAGATTGGATTTATTGCATAAGCAACACTTAAACTAAGTGCTTTCATAATTTTGGCCGAAGAACATCCCCCAGCAGTGTTCGCAAACTCTACTTAATACTTTACACACACACACACACACACACATATATATATATATATATATATATATATATATAAATATATATATATATATATAAATATATATATATATACAGAAATATATACATATAGATATATATATATAGATATAAATAGATATATAGATATATATATATATATATATATATATATATATATATATATATATATATATATATATTGAGATGGTGGTGGTGGTGATAACGACGATGACAATGATGATGGTGCCACCGGCATAATGATGGTGATATAAAATTGTCGCTTTAGCGCTGGCGATGATGATGTCAGTACATACATACATACATACATGCATGCATGCATGCATGCATACATACATACATACATACATACATACATACATACATACATACATACATACATACATACATACATACATACATACATACATACATACGTAACTACAGCAAAATATCATATGTTTTATTATAACACATTTATATGTTCAGTTACAGACGGATTTCATGTACATTATTTTGTAATGGATTGTTACATGAATTGCTTTTGTAGAATGAGTACATGTACAGAACACACTTAATTTAGTTTCAGATCGTTATTGATAGTCAAATATGTCTATAATTGTATTTTGTATGAAAGCCATATAGGACATAATTAAGTCCATAAAGGACACAATGATGTCCACAAAGGACAAAATGACGTCCCCAAGGAACACAATGACGTCCACAAAGGACACAGTGATGTCCACAAATGACACACTGACGTCCATAAATGACACAATGACGTCCACAAAGGACACAATTATGTCCACAAAGGACATAGTAACGTCCACAAAGGACACAACGACGTCGATATAGGTCACAATGACTTCCATAAAATACACAATGAACGTCCACTTGAAGGACAAGTTGTATCCCTTGATAGACTAGCTGGCACCTTATTAGGCCACATTTTAACGCAAAGATTACATTTCCTTCATAGACCACTGAAAAAGGTAACAATGACGACATTCATAATGTCCTCCTTCAGTAATCATGATTGTCTGATACAAAACAATACGCTCTGTCGTGATATACTCAGTATATTGTTGGTTGAACCCGTGTATTTGGCTGGAATACATGCGTAAACGACTTCGACAGATACATTCCGAAAGGATATCATGCAATATGTAATCAAGGCATGCCATCATTAAGAAAAAGAAAAGTCATGATGAACATATTAACAAAATGTCTATGCCAACTCCTGGTGGTTTTACAAACACAGAAGTCGATGACATACACCTAATGCTGGTGACGCCATATTTGTTGTTAGGGATGTCGAAGAAAACAAAAAGATATAACATAAAAATGAGTGTAAGCACTTACTGTACATAATGAATAGGTGTATAGAGTAGGATAGTGATAAATATATATATATATATATATATATATATATATATATATATATATATATATATATATATATATATATATATATATATATATATATAGATGCAATAAACTGACGACGAACAGTACGAAACTAGTAACTAACTAGCCTAAGCGCTTTCGACTCTCAATGAGTCTTTTTCAAAGGCAAATACAAAACATAGTTACGACAAACAAATAAACACAAAAACGTTGTGTTTGTAAACCTCTACATTTCTGTCTTCACATGTGCTAAAACTATAAATACAACCAGCTTGTATAGACTAGTTGCGGAAACTGAAAACGTTGTATAATTCCCTAAAAGTCTACAAGCCAAAGCGACATCTATTTTTACATTGTGTACATATGTAACGCAGATTATATCCCGGATATTTGATTCTATACGGGTTATTCCTATAGTAAAAATTGAAGGATAATAAGAAGATTTAGAAAATGTTAAATTCTACTAGTGCATAGTTTTCATTTTCTAGTCTTCTTGGTTTAGACCGCTTGGTTTCAATGTTCTAAGGCGGCGTATCCAGTATGATACCTTTTCCTTCCTGGTTTCAGAACTCCAGCTGTGGTTGTTAGCAATAGCGATAAGTATTATATCACTGAAAGTGTGGCCAGGGGAGGAGAAGTGTTCTGCGACCGGGCTTCTGTACAGCTTTTTTGTCATCCAATCAGATCTATGAAGATTTATCCTTATGTGTAGCTTTTCAGTTTCTCCCACGTACTGAAGGCCACAGATCTTACTAATGTTATTGACGAGGCGTACCAAAGCGGACACATAGACCAGCAAACCAAAAGCTACTTAAGCCCAGAAAACCCAAGAGCA